TTAACTAGATTGAGTTTAACCCATGTGACCGTTTTGAAAAGGGAAACAAGGAGTAATGCGACTCCGTGTTCTGTTCATTCTACGTGCGAAACAATCAGCTTATAAGAAGTTTAAATTGTGAAATAATAGATTTGACCTGTTCTGCTTGGGGGGTGACAACCTCAGGTCCTCCGTTAGTCAGCGCTCCTCATGACAGCGTTTAGTTCGTGCACATTAGTTTGGGAGAGTGGGGTAAGTTGTCCTTTGGGGAAAAATAAATAAGATAGAAGTAACACATCCAAGCGTGTTTAAGCATATGCGTTGCTTACTGGAATAAACACAGTAAAATATGACTTGACTTGAGAAGAAAGTATAGGTAACGTTATAAGTGTATAGGGCCCTAGAAATATAACTTCAGTGAGCCTGTCCACTGTTTGGGTTAAGTTGAGTCATTGGGGAATACGTGAGAAATTTGCATTTTAAAATGTAAATCTGAATATGTTATAAACTCATTTACCTGCGATGTAGAAAATTAAAAAAACAAGTTTCGTGTAGGCTATGTTACTTAAAGCATATATAATTGGCACTGTCTATACATTGATGTACACCGTTTCCTCGATTAAGGGGTGACTCATCTTACCCCACTCTCCCTATTAGTGTATTTGCAGCTTAATGATGAACTCTAATCTTTATGCACTTTATGCACCATTTGTTCTTTAAAGTAGTTGGTTTTGTTCTGTGCTTCCATTTTGTAGGGTTTCCTTTGAGACATAGCTGCCAAGATTAGTAATTGAGGCATTTGTTTGATAGATTTTTTTTTTTTGGTCTGCACTGTTACACTGTGACTCTGAGAATTCCCGTTCTCTTAGTTACATTGTAGATGTTAAAGGGGCCATGAACTGAGAAATCAAAATTCCCTCCATCTTTTGACATACAAGAGGGCATTGTACTATAAAAACATCAAAACGTTCTCATTAATCTAAAAGCAGTTTATATTGAAGTCAATCTGCCGAAAGGACAGCTTGTGGAATGCGCCGCTCTATGACATAATAGTGTGGCTAAACACCGCCTCCACAGAAGAAGATCAACGCCTACTTCTTCATCACTGCCTCGTGTAGTGTAAATAACAAGAGAGGCAAACGATAAAGATGCTCTGAAGACAACAAGACGCTGTGCAGTGTCTGTCTTCTGATCCCAACATTAGGAAAGAGTGTATGAAGTTTATTTTTAATGAAGATCCAGACCGCGTCAGTAAGAACTCGGTCCTTTGTTCACTTCGTTTCACCGCAGATTTGTTTATAAGGCACAATTCAATGCAGGATTTTCAGTAAGATAGAAACTAAAAGACAATGCTGTTGCGACTATAGGATCCGACAGTAATGTTGCACAACACAAGTGTAACTACTTAGTATTTATGCGTTTTTAATCTAAATCACTGCAGCGTCCATCTATGAAGGCTGTAGGCTGTCAAACATACACATCTGTAAGCCAATCATAGCAGTGGGTGTTGTAATGAGTCTATAATCCACCCCGTCTATTCAAACAGAGCGTTCTGATGAGGGGGGGTCAAAACCGGGGTCATAGCCTATTTCTTCTAAAAATTGGTAACAACTATAGGATCCGACAGTAATGTTGCACAACACAAGTGTAACTACTGAGTATTTATGCGTTTTTAATCTAAATCACTGCAGCGTCCATCTATGAAGGCTGTAGGCTGTCAAACATACACATCTGTAAGCCAATCATAGCAGTGGGTGTTGTAATGAGTCTATAATCCACCCCGTCTATTCAAACAGAGCGTTCTGATGAGGGGGGGTCAAAACCGGACAGAAAAAATAGCCTATTTCTTCTAAAAATTGGTAACATTTATAAGTGGACAAAATAATGAAAAAGGCAGTTCATGAGCCCTGTAAGTGTCAGAAGATTGCTGTCATTCACCTGGATGGTATTGCAGTTCTCCAGCAGAGGGCGGTCATGGGTGGGCTTGTGTAAACAGAGCAGAAGGTCAGGTCAACAGTTAGTGTAACATGCTGGGCAGACTAAATCATCTGCAATGAGTGCAAGCGGAAGTTTTATTCCTTTGATGAAGATGGGATGTTGTAATGTAGAGGAATGTTGAACTCTACTTGCTGTTGGAGAGATTAGGTGTTTCGTTTAAAGCAAAGATTACAACAAATAACTCGATCAAGAAGCTTCCGAGTGCCTAAATTAAAGTGTTCTCAGCTACAAGCTTCAAATCTTATAAATTATTCCAAAGAATCATTTTCACTTCTAATCTAATTCAAATTTTGTAATTGTAGTACTTTGTGATTTCCATTAAGAGAGGCTGGTTAAAGAATACTTAACAGTCACATTGAGATTTACCACTGCATATTTAAATATATATATATATATATATATATTTACCCACTGTCTGTTTTCTTTACTGCCTTTGTATCTTTGATTTATATCGGGGTACTGGAGGATTACTATAGTTATATAACACAGCATGTACATGGTGTCAGGTTAACTTTATTGAATATTACAGTATGTACCATGGTATGTTGTCCAGAAAACATAATACCATTATACTGACAGGGCATCAGTTGCACTTTTTTTAACAACTGGTACTTTGTTATATAAGCAGAAGACTAAGAAGCTTATTTTTTTTATCGCACAATTCATTTTTTTTTCTCTCACAATTCTGGGTTTTTATATCTCACAATTCTGACTTTTTTTCTAAGAACTGCAAAATATAAACTCACAATTGTAATTATGAGATCAAAAGTTGAATTTAAGCGGAAATAGGCTTCCACAGAAGACAGACATACAGTTGTTTTATTTTTAAATGACAATAACATATAGTGTTTTTAATAAGCACAGCAAAATTATAACAGTGATCAGCATAAGTTTTCATTATTTTGGAAAACAGCAGCTTTGACATTTTTAATAATAACATGAGGGTGGATAGATTTTCAGTTTAAGTGGATGATCTGTAATCTGAACTGTGGAAGGTGTGACTGACCAAAAATGATTATTGATCTACAATAATTGACATAAAATACTTAATTTTCAAAATTGCATTTTAAATCTTATTAACTCAAAAATTCCACATGCACCATATGTGATTTGGGTATGATAAATATATACTTAAAGCACATTCCCCATGAATAAAATTTCCCGCACTAATACATTTACAAATTGGTGACACATAAATCAACTAGTCTTAAGTACATCTGAGATATTATTGGCATTTCCAGGATATACAATGTCAAACAGACCTACAATGCATTATGACTATTGAACATTTTGCCTACGCATGTACTTTATGGCACATGTGCAGAATGACTCGCAATAGTGACGAAGTTAGGCCAGAAACATTTTTCTCACCCATGCAAGAATCTGTTAAGTAAACTCCAGCATAATAAAAAGTCAGTATAGTCCTATATAATCATATCTGGGCTTATCAGTCATTTACAGATGTTTAGAACACTTTACAGCTTGGACCTGTAATATGCAAACATTTGGAAACCCAGATGTACTATCACTAATCCTGAAGTCTTGCACTGTACATTTATATGCATTTGGCTGATGCTTTAAATGACTTATTGCATTCATATTTTATCGGTTCATGCACTCCCTGGGAATTCAACCCCATGCTCTACTGTTTAACCTGCAGAAACACTTAAAACGTCAAGCATTTTTGATGCATCAAGGTGAAGGTCAATTGAATGGCCTTGTTTCATTTTATCAGTTCATAAACATGCCCACTTGGTTCATTAACAGCCGTTAGTTCCTCTAGCATCACTGACAGCTGTCAGGATGTAACACATTGTCTTTTTATTTTTAAGTGAATTATAAGTAAACATTTTGTGAGGTAAGTGTTCAGCAAGCAATGTTGTATATGCTTGATTTGCAATAAATAAATAACACAGCTCTGCATCTTGAAAATTTTTTTTATTAAAAAATATAAATAAGAAACTTTTAATGCACTTATCAAAATAAAGCAGTCAAAAGTTTCAATGTTAAAAAAAAGTTTCATTAAGTTTTAATGACATACTGTTAAGTATTCACAATGCATAATTTAACTTACAATCTGCAAAGAAGTGAAAAAATCTGTTCAAATGGTCAATTTAATGTTAAATCACTTTTCACAAAATCTGTATTTTTCTGTTGCTGTTTGCATGTAGAGAAACACACACATATGTAGCAGAAAGCATGTGGGTCATGTTTGCATTTTCTTGTCGCTGGCCATAATTCTAACCTTGAAATCAGGATTAGGCGGATTAGAATAATGTCTTCAAAATCATTCTTACATGTGAAAATGGGCTCAGAATTGAAATGAAATACACTTTATTCCCTGCAATCTTCATTGCAATTTTAACCAGGCGCCCAAGCCTAAGGTTACCAAACTAAACTGTGATGCCATATATAATTAAGCTCTCTACGACAAAATAAGCACATCATTCTCTGACCAACTCCATGCATTCTAAGTCTATGCATAAAATACAGTTTCTGCTGTACACGAGAGCAAATTGTGTCCAGCTAAGTGTATTATGAATAAAGATACCAAGGTACTTATAGGAACGCACTTGCTTAATTGATGTTTCATGTATAATTACTGGAACAAATAGCCGTAACCTAGCTCAGAGAAAGATAGGAAGCTTGTCAATTAAGATGTAATGCAAAATTTATTTACCTTAAAAATACTTGCCGAAGCAAAAATGCTACAAAATACATCATATTTTGTAAGAAAATGTGACATGCTAGAGCAAAACAGCACTATTTTTGGAAAAGCAATGATTAGATTTAATTTCATTAATGCAGGATGATGTTATGGGTCACCCTGCTTTCCAGTTGTTCAGTTGTTGATTCAATCACTAGTCTTGTTTATGCATCTGCATTTTGCACGCTATTAAATATGAATACAGTCATGGATAACAGTGCCTTTCTCGTTTAGACTCTACACACAGAAAAAGATGAATCCACCATTATTCCAGAATGAATTAATAGGCAGACAGAGAGAGTGTGTGTTTATGGGAAGAGGGAGTCACTGATGTGTGTGTCTGTCACTGATGACGCTCATGTGTCTTAAAGGACCGTGAGTGTAAGTTTGATGCATATTCTCACAGTCTGATGCTTTGCGCCTGTTATTTAAGAGCTCCGCCGTCGTGATGATCAATACCGCGAGAAAATGGATCGTATCGTGCAGCTTGAACCTTTAGTGTCATACGCCGAGGTGAAATGAGGGTGTAATTCGTCCAAAATGTGACATGGCACAAGCGCATCGGGCTCACGGTTGGACAGCCGAGGTGTCATCGATCTGATCTGATATGATGGCTGATAAATAACGCGGCGAGATGGATCTCCTCTCCGTTTATCCTTGACGCGTGCGGGAGGGAGGCAGGCGGAACTGAGCAGCGTGACCACCGGCCAATGTACCGGGGGAACGGTGGCAGCGGTCTTGAGATCCGTTCCTCCGGGTTTTACGCAGCAAGGCGCGGGGAACGATGGGCTGCGCTCCCAGCATCCACGTCTCGCAGAGCGGGGTGATCTACTGCCGCGACTCGGATGAGTCCAACTCGCCGCACCAGACCACCACCATCTCACAGGGCACGGCGACCACCCTGCACGGCCTCTTCATCAAGACCGACGCAGCGGACACCATCCCCTCCGTGATCGCGTACCAGAGCAGGCACACGCGGACCAACTCCCACCGGGAGCGGAGAGAGAGCAGCGGCGGGCACGTGTGCACGGAGGCCGAGACTCAGACCAGCAGCACCGGCGTCAAGGTATGAGGAATGAATGAATGGCAAGATGGTGGGAATCAGGTTTTAGCTCTTTATCTCTCATTATTTCCACCGTCACCCCTATGCTATGCCATTACCCCTAGACTAAAAAAAGGTAACACTTGTCATTCAGTGTTTTAATGTCATCCCTGCATCCCTGTGTGTTGTTGTGAATCATCAGCTGGATGCTTATTGCTGCCATATGCTTATTGTTTACTGATAATTATGTCTAGTTTGACATCTCTAATGGTATTTTCTGATTCAGATGGTTACATTTTGGTTTAGTGAATGAGTTTGGTTCATTCAGAAACTTCAAACAGGTGGGAGCCCAGTGAAGGACAATATTTACCTGTGGATGTGATTCTTCGGGGCATTATTTACTTTTACAAAGACATTTTTAACAGTATAAAACCCACAGCATTTAAATTAACTATTTAAACGTAATCAATTAAATGAAGAACTATTATGACTGTTGTCAATAAAAATCAACATTGAATAGGTGTGCAAAATATTGCAATTCCTGCTCAAACCGTAAAGCATGGGTTCTATTCCCAGGGAATGCGAGAACTGATTAAATGTATACCTTAAATGCAATTTAAGTTGCTTTGGATAAAAGCATCTGCGAAATGTAATGTTCTGCTTGGTTTTTACGTAATTGGCCGGTGGAAATACATCAAACGTTACAGACAAAGAATGAGAAAAATATGTGGGGCATTTTTGCCCCACGCCCTGGTTCGTTTCTGACCGTTGTGGGAACTGATGTATGGGAACCTAGTTTGTATATGCACCACCATGATGGTCCTTATAGCAGCAATGCTCAACTGGTGGGTCACGACCCAAAAATGGGCCTCCAGTTTGTTTTCATATGGCCACATTTACATTTATGCATTTGGCGGATGCTTTTATCCGAACTTAGCAACTTAAATTGCATTTAAGGTATACATTTGATCAGTTCATGACATGTATTCCCTGGGAATCAAACCCATGATGTTGGCGTTCCTAGCACCATACTCTACTGTTTAAGCAAGATGCTCATGGCCAACAGAGAAAACAATTTACATAAAATGCAACTAACAACATAATTTCATGTAGTTAAATATTAAGTCATGGTAGCTGTTCTGATTTTTAAAGGGAGGAAAAAATATATCCCATATATTTTTATTTTTTGACATCAAGGAAGTTCGACCAATCAAACACTGTTTAAGTTTGGTACTAAAATACAACTCAGGTGGACTGCGGGTCAAAGAGCCAAGGCTATTTTTTAAATGTCAAATAATGTTCTTGTTTATATTATTTTATTTACGCCTTTTATGCAGCTATACACACTTTTCAAATGTATAAAATCGCCTCTATCTGATATTATAATGCATGTAATTTCCACACTGTGATACTCCCCTTCTGATATCAGTTTTTGTATGTAGTAGATTTATTTTAATGCAGGTGCAAGTCAGATAATGATTTTTGTGTTAAATGAGTCAAGGCGAGTTGGAATTAAATTAGTGCTGCTGTCGGATAACAGGTTGGGTTTACCAAACAGGGTTCATGCAGTCTAATACTAATACTTTAGCGTATTGTTTTGTCTGTTTTAAGCTTCACATTTGATTTGGACATTCTTGTTGACAGTTTACATGATCAAATTTTGTGTTGCAGATTTGGGTCACCATTGGGTTATTAAAGTCAAATCCGAGTCATGATGCAAAACCATTTGAGAACTACTGGCTTGGACTGTACAAGTACGGTGGGCCCAAAAAGCATTTTGATACTTGGACTGCACATAAAAATGTCTGAATGTCATTGCATTTTGGGGCCACTGTATCTGTAATGATTATTTTGGTGGCTTTTATCAAGTTGTGTACATCTACAGAGTTGTTTCAGGTGAAATCTCAAAACTCTGCTGTGTGGAAACCATAATGCCATAATAATTGTTTTAATGTTTTTTCACGTCAGTGACTGTTTAGTGTTTAAGTTTTCACTTACTAAAAATTAAATAGAAAAACCATGCTTTCTGAACATTGCTGTAGTGTTCCTTCCCGAACCATGGTGACTTTTTGTAAGGCTGGACGTTTCAGACTGCTTGAATATAGCATTGAGAAATTATCATTTTTGTCTCTTTCTGGGGATGATATCTTTCCGTTACATTTTGCTTGCGTTCTGCAGATGAAGTTGGAAGGCTGTTGACCTGAACGCCGTAATTCCTGCCATGTTTAGAATGGTTATCAGCCTTATCTGAGTTAAAGTGTTTACAGTCAGATCGCATGTAGGATTCAGATTAGAAATTTTCTCATGCTGCAGGTGAGCACACTCTCTTAGACCTGTAATAAACACTTTTTTTGTTAGTTTTGTCAAAGAATGATTACATTTCTCTGTCAGAGAATGATAAAATCGTGGCTCATTTGGACTGATTTGGCCGAATAAAACTGATGGCCTGCCGTACACAGTGGAATTTCTGTTACGCAACATAAATCAAATACTAATGCCATTTTAAGTTCCTACAAGGACCATTTATAGATCTGTGTATGGATTTATATGATGTTTTTAATGGGCACTTTTGTGTGTGTATGTTGGTCGTGTGTCAGTTTGAAAGGAGACGTAGCGATTTTGGTACAATCTGCCAAGCGTGTGTGTGGTATAGTCAGATGCGTGTTCACTCCGAGACTGGCGAGGAACTCAATGATGCCATTGAAGTGTGTGTGTAGCTCCGCACGGCTCTCTATCATTCACACACATTCTCATTGTGTCCACAGCAATGGAGCTAATATCCATTTTGAATTGAATGTGCGTGCTATCTGGCTTTCTTGTGTGTGTTTGTGCATCTCTATGTCTTTGTGAGAGATAGAGGCCTTGTGTTGAAGAAAGACCGATTTTGTGTTTCTTTGTATGCATTTGTGTTTGTTCAGGCCGCAGAGTTTGTTTACCCCTCTGGCTGTGAGCTCTGCAGGGTGTGAACTATCACATGCTAAAAGGCTGATGAATCTCAGTCCAGATACACACACACGCATATGGTTAGAGCAAGGCATTGTGGGAAGAGGTGCCCTGAGACATGTAGCGGGGCATCAGCTGTCTCGACTGACATGGGGACACATCACTGTCACAAAGTAGCCTAACGTAAAGTACAGTCTGATTGGTCACGGCTTCCCTCGGGAGGTAACATTTAGATAACAGCATGAAATCGCTCCTCGCTGATTAGCGCCGTCCTGCAGGATCTGTCCGACGAGTTAGCATCATTTAGTTCGCAGATTTCTTTGTGTTTGCTTTCAGGGGAGACATTTGTACCAAATGAACATGAGGATATCAATTTATCCCCTCGATGGCTGGTTTTTATTTACATCCATGGTAGTGATGCAGTGACGTTATTCTCCAGCATATTTGTAGATGTTTTTATTTTTCCCCTTTCTGTTAGAGAGAAATCCTGTGTATTAGTCCAAGCAGTTAGTGAGTAGAAGTTTTTGTGTGGTGTTGCTCTCTCCAGAAAAAAGAAAAGGTTCAAAACTGTCACTGGGGTGGTCCTTTTTTGAAAGGTACAGCTTTGTACCTTCTGGGTGTGTATTGGTACCTTAAAGGTACATACAATTAACTAAACTATACATATTACTGCCTAAAAATGTACATTTGAAATGCTTTTGAAAAGGTACTGCCCCAGAGACAGCTATCGGACCTTTCTTTCTGAGAGTGTGCTTAGATCTGGATTAGCAACCTGTGGGTTGTATGTTTTCAGTATGTAATCTTTTCAAAAGCTCAGGGTTTTAAAAGGATTTTTTTTTAGTCTAAAGAAATTGATAATAATAACACCAACAGTTGCATGTATTATAATATATAAAGCCATATAAATATATAAAGCCATAAGTAAATAATATAAATACCTTTCTGAAAGAAAGTAATACTTTTATTTAGCAGTGATACATTAAATTGACCAAAAGTGAGAGTAAAGACGTTTACATAATGTTCCATTTCAAATAAGTGCAAAATGTATCACAGTTTCCAGTTGTTGGTTTTTTTTTGCAAAAAAAAAAAAAAAAGAGCAGCACAACTGTTTTGAACAATAATAATAATAAGAAGAAATGTTTCTTAGCAGCAAATCAGCATATTAGAATGATTTCTGATGGATCATGTGACACTGAAGACTGGTGTAATGATGCTGAAAATTCAGCTTTGCATATTATATTTTAAAATATATTAAAGGGGTCATATGATGCTGCTAAAAAGAACATTATTTTGTGTATTTGGTGTAATGAAATATGTTTATGTGGTTAAAGGTTCAAAAAACACATTATTTTCCACATACTGTACATTATTGTTTCTCCTCTATGCCCCGCCTTTCTGAAACGCGTTGATTTTTACAAAGCTCATCGTTCTAAAAAAGTGAGGTGTGCTCTGATTGGCCAGCTATCCAGTGCATTGTGATTGGCCGAATTCCTCAAGCATGTGACGGAAATGTTACGTCCCTTACCGTACTGTGATGCCTGCGGCAACCACATGTGACGACCCCGGGCTGGACTCCGCTTCGTCCACGGTGAAAGCCGATCCGGCGATCGACAGCGCGAAGTTGAAGCATTTCCTCAGCGACCAGCATGGATCAGCTCCAGGCATGACTAAGCGATATCGTCCTCTTTTGGAAGACCAAACAAAGTAGTTTCGCTTTCACAACGAAGCACACAGTGCCTTCACGACATGGCGACCGCAACAATACTACAGCGAGAATAATAGTTACGCCTTCTTTCTTTGCATTTGGGCGGCGTTATGCTAATCTTCCCAGATAGTGACGTAGGTATGTGGGGGCGTGTTAGAATGAGCCGTTTTAGGTAGGTGTGGCTGGCTGACTCTTAACTTGGATTTGAGACTTTAGTCTTTGCAACTTTACAGGTCTTCTTTATGCACCAAGAACTTGTAACACTCCAAAGAGAAAGGAAAAATTGAAATCGCATCATATGATCCCTTTAATATAGAAAGCAGTTAATTTAAATTGAAAAAATATTTTACAATAGTACTGTTTTACTGTATTTTTG